ATACTTATGTCGATGACGTCCAGCTTGGGTTTAAGTCATGCAACCTGGCAATGTGTGAGTGGCAGATTCAGTTAGATTTAAACAAAGTCTTTCAATGGGCAGAAGAAAATGGATTCTGACTGAACCCACAAAAAGCACGTGTGTCTTGTTCTCCCGAAAGAGAGGCATGCACTCAAAACCCAACATTGAGCTTAACTGTCAACGTCTGTCTGTTAATGAGGGGCATAAATTCTTAGGCTTAATTTTGGACAAGTTGACCTTCGTACCGCACATCAAGTATTTAAGATAAAAATGTTTAAAAGCCATAATGTTTTAAAAGTGTTGTCACCAACTACGTGGGGTAGTGACAGGCAATGTCTCATGAATCTCTGTAGAAGCCTCATTCGAACCCGCTTAGATTATGGGGGCCGTTTTTTATCAGTCTGCGACTCAAAGTGCTTTGAAGGTGCTGGAACCCGTGCACCATTTGAGCATCCGCCTTTTTACGGTTGCTTTTCGCACCAGCCCCGTAGAAAGCCTTTACGTTGAGTCAAATGTGTGGTCGCTTCATCTGCAGAGAACTTACATGTCCTTTGTATATTTCCTTAAGGCGAAAGCAGACAAGAAGCACCCCTCATACTCTACTAGTTATGATTTGTCGAGCTCCATGCTGTCTCAAAACAGGCCTTCGATGAGGCAGCCCTTCTCAGTTCCCCTGAAGGGTCTATCTGAGGAATCTGGAGTGTCACTTACACACAGTTTCATGGCTCCTGTAGCATACCCGGCACCGTGGCAGTGGCAGACTTTAGAAAGCGATGTCTCTTGCCCAGAAGTTACAAAACATTCGGCCTATTGCCATATCCGAACATATCCTGGAACTTCAACACAAATGCACACGTCCTGACTTCTTTACAGGTGCCTCTAAGTCTAACTCCTCTGTGTCCTACGCTGCTGTCGGCCCATCCTTTTCGGATGTTGGCCCTCTACATCCAGGCACAAGTATATTCACAGCGGAAGCTTACGCGATACTTGTGGCGGCTAAACACATCAAACAACTACAAATACAAAAAGCAGTAATTTATGTGGATTCCCTCAGTGTGGTAACGGCTCTACACAATCTTGAAAAACAAAAAAAAACTCTGTCCTCGTCTCACTTTACTCCACTTTATGCACACTCTACACACTCAAACAATATGTTGTAGTGTGCTGGCTGCCAGGGCACCGTGAGATCCAAGGCAACGTGATGGCGGATCAGCTTGCTGCATCCGTTCACGAAAGTACTGCCACTACACCCATATCAATCCCGGCCCTTGATCTTAAGCCGTCTCTCAAAGGAAAGCTCAGGGACTACTGACAGAGCAAGGAGGATAGACACACAAAACAAACTACACCTTATTAAGCCACACCTTGAACATTGGCCGCCAGCATCGAAATCACGTCACACAGAGGTAACACTAACGAGGCTCAGGATAGGACACACATACACGACACCCTCATATCTTTTGTCCGATGGCGACCCACCATTGTGTGACAGATGTGGTGAAGCACTAACAGTTCTTTACATTTTAATCCAGTACAAACAACTCGACACTCTAAGAGAACAACACTTTCCATTACCCTACCGACAACATACACCTTTACACGCTGCAATGTTCTTCGGTAGGGAACCACTGTTCACTCATAAATCGGTGCTAGCTTTTTAAGAGATGTCCGCTTTTACCATGTCATATACTCAGGCATTGCGTAGCGCGACCGCTCAAGAGAGGTTGCTGCTGCAGTGGTTCCATTGAAAAGCACTTGCCTCGTGGCCCTTGGAAACAAGTGCTTTGATAAGGCACTTGTGCTGGTGCCAAACATTTTTACACATTTTTTTATTATGAAAACCTTTGTCACCCTTTCTTACTATGCATATCACGTCAGCTGTCAAGATTTTATCACTTATGTTTTTACCCGCATTATCGCGAGGAATTTTAAGGCCCCTATAGAGCCAAACAACATATCATTGTCCACATCTCTAGTCATAGAAAGGGCGCTCTTCGGCCATCAATTCGCCCTTGCCCATGAAGTGCCACACATCATCATCATCAACTGTAATGGGTACAAAATGATCTATCAGTATGGACAATATTTTTAAAGTTTCATCGAGCCCCGCCGCACTGGTATAGTGGCTAAACTACTCGGCTGCTGACCCGCAGGTTGCAGGATCAAGTGCCGGCTGCGGCGGCTGCATTTTCAATGGAGGCGGAAATATTGTAGGCCCGCGTACTCAGACTTGGGTGCACGTTAAAGAACCCCAAGTGGTCGGAATTTATGGAGCCCTGCACAACGGCGTCTCTCATAATCATATAGCAGTTTTGGGACGTTAAACCCCTAAAATCAATCAATCAATTAAAAATCTACCAAAGCAGTAAAGTGTTGCCTTTCGAAAACAGAGCAAGTTCTGTTTAGTGATGATTCAAAATTGCGTCGTCATTAGTAGAGAGGCAACTTTTAACAATTGTGAGCCCAGACAAATAGCTCACGTGACAAACAAAAAGCGGAAACAAAACAAAAAACAGCAAGTGATGCGACAAACTCTTTTGAACAGAAACTTCAAATGAGCGATGGAGGACCAATCTAACAACACGAGATCAAGCACAGAAACTGATTGATCGATTGATATGTGGGGTTTAACGTCCCAAAACCACCATATGATTATGAAGACGCCGTAGTGGAGGGCTCCGGAAATTTCGACCACCTGGGGTTCCTTAACGTGCACCCAAATCTGAGCACACGGGCCTACAACATTTCCGCCTCTATAGGAAATGCAGCCTGCCGCATCCGGGATTCGATCCCGTGAACTGCGGGTGAGCAGCCGAGAGTACCTTCACCACTAGACCACCAAGGTGGGGCCAAGCACGGAAACTGCGTTATTGGCAATGCGCGCGGGTTCTTGATTAACATAGACAAGATTGTTTTCAAGAACATCAAACACTCATCAGCGTTGCATGCTGATTCGGGATCGCACGATAAGTGGCTTCCGTTCATGGTAGTAATGGTAGTAAGGCATTCGTTTGTGGAAACTCTTTTATCGGTAGCATGGAACTAGTCGTAGCCGCAAAAAGCGCGAGAAACGAATATTTTCAAAAGTTAATTTCCTGAAACCAGAAACTTGAATGCTTTAACAAAATCTTTTTCACATATCTTATGACTCGAAGATAGCAGAAATAGTGTGGGACTGCAAAAAGTACACCAAGATTGACACGGATGCGACCTCCAAAGTCCAAACAGGCCTGCAAAAGATGCTCATTATTATTTTTAGACGAGTCAACAATACTGCCAACTGCAGTGCAGCAATGATTCTTCTCTAGTGATCAAAGGCTTACCGAAGATTTACAAAATCGGGATGCCTCTCAAACCCATAGCAGACTTCACTAGGTCACCCCTGTACAGCCTCTAAAATTATCTTCACGGCATCCTGGATCTCCTGCAGGCAAGACTAAACCAACCTCCGCAACACCAATGACTTCTTAAGCACAATAATGGAAGCCTCTTTCTGAGAGAGATAAACATATCACTACCACCATGGGCGAATGACTGGTTTCGTTTGACGTCTGCTCCCTCTGCACAAGTGTTCATGTCGACTTTCCTGTACAGATACTTGCTTCCCGAAGGACACGGCATTGGTGGCATCCCACACCGTTCAACGTCACTGAGCTCTGCACTTTATCCCGGTTCAGCCTGTACAACACTTCTAGCATAAGAATAGATTCTACAGGCAAGTTTCTGGTACCCTAATGGCAGCATCAATTTCAATCACAGCTGCGAACATCACGACGGAACCAATTGAACTCAAGGCCCCGCAAACATTTCAGCCGAGAACTGAAGTCTATCTGAAATATATTGAGGACTGATTCTGCGTGATAAATAGGTAAAACGTCAAACTTTTCCTTAATGTTGTCGAGCCCTCCACGAATGAAGTTTTGTTCAAGAAGAGAAAGACGGTTGCCTATTTCGACGCAGTTGTAAAACGTGCTCCCACAGGCCTCGCTTTTGCTGTGTACCTAAAGCCAATCCAATCCGGTAGATACCTAGACTATTAGTCAGTACATTTGCTAGCACATAAACGCTCAGTTATTCGGTCCTTAGTCCAACGAGCCATTCGTTCCAAAAAAGAAGCCTACAGAAAGAAATCCATATTATCAAAAATGACCTCATCAGTAATGAATGCCCCAGGAGTTTTATTAGAAGAACAAACAGATCAGTAACGCCTGGACAGCAGCAAAACAGCCAAGCCGTGCATAACACAGCGTGTACACACAAGCGCAAAGCGTTTCAGAACGTTTGAGATGTAAGCGAAGCCCTAGCCCGGGTGTTTAAAAATATGGCGTGCAGATCGCACATGTGCCAGCAAAGAACCTTGAAGTTGACATGCGAAGTATATGAAAGATTCTCTCCCTCGGCAACGCTATACCGATGTCATGTACAAGAAAGATTCAATGTGCCGATTGTGAATCGTTGTACATTGGCGAAAGTGGCAGTTTGAGCTGACGCCTAGAGGAGCAGAAGAATGACGTCGCCAAGGGCCACACAGTAAAAAATACACTCCCCGAGTACGCTGAGAAAACGGGCCACGATGCAAACTGGCACAACGCACGCATCACGGTTACGGAGAAGAATTTGAAAGACTCAACGTCGAATTACTCATCACTCAGACAACGAGTAAAACAAACAATATATCATCTGGCTCACCTAAACCGAATGTACTCCTGGACTGTGCGTCATGCACTCAATGCTACATAAGAAACTGTTGCTCAGGCGTCATTCTATTGTGCACAAGGCATGCATTAGTATGAACCCGAAAGGTGCTGTTTTTATTTTGACCCTGGCCAGTGACCTACTTTTTCGACAACTACGTTAAGTACATTATGTCATCCTAGTGACATTTCTGCCTACCATTGGCTTATAATTGTTATAAAATGAATACCTACAAAAATTTACCAGAATCACAAGTAACATCGATTATTGAGGACGTAACTTACGGACGCAGGATATCCTCTAAAGCAGTCTTGCGAGAAATAGGAGTAAACATTCGATTGTATAGTGTACAGCTTGTGGAAAATTGTCTATATCTGACCGCACTCCGCTTCTGCGCACCAGCTCTCATGGGTGAACGGTTTGTGGCTTCGTGGCGCCTAGTAGCTATCCACACGGCACCAAAGGAAAAAAAAAAAACTTTCCTACGCGAACCACTTGCAGATAACCCTGGAAGATAAGGTTCCTGCACTGTTGCTCGTAGGTATACGGCGGTGCACTCTTTTCCAATCGATATCTCTCGTGTTTGAAACTGCGCTTCCATGTAGTTTTTCGTTTTTACTTCCCAGTGCTACTCAAGACATCAATCATATGGGAGCATGCAGGCTGGCCGATTAAGGAAGGTGCACGTGGAAGGTTACCTTGCGTTTCCATTTGCTTCTGTGTTATAAGTTCGGATCATGGTGTATACGCCGTAGCTATACGGCAAAAACAGTGGCGTAGCCAGGAGGTAGCACAACGGGTCCGTGCCCCCCCCCCCCCCCCCCCGTCGAGTCTTTTTTCACCATGGCATACAGAGCCAAATATCCCCCACCCTCCCAAATTCCCAAGGAAGTATCCCTTTAAAAATTTCTTTCTCGAGCCCTGGGCAGAAAGCTTCAGGTATTACACGGAACAAACCAAAGAAAATTACTGTTTTGCCGTTCACTCATCTTTTATTCGTGAATCGCAGCACATGATTGACCGCTTGTGTCTTGTCGATTGAATTTTTTTATAGGCGTCAGAAGCATTTGTGTATGCAAGCCGTAAATTTTGACTTTATAAGGTAAATATGCTAACCGTTTATCGTTACCTATCAAAATGGAAAAAGGCTTTCCTGCTAATCATCATCAGTCCGTAACTAATAATCATAACTACAGCTTTAGTAGTCAATAGTATGTCAGAATGTGGTCTAGGGGGGCGAACGTAGTGAAATAAGACAAAAGGCTCACCAAGGGAAACCTCAATTTAAAAAATTGGCCCCGAATCTGCATGTTACACTGCATATGCCGTCGAAAGACGATAGTCTTGCGTCTGGAGAGAGTGAACAAAACGTTTATTTGATGTTCTGCGCAAAAAAATTGGTGAATGGTATTCTGGAGGCGCTGCGTTAGTGCCTCGACTGTGTAGCGGACACGAAGGAGCGCATTGAGTCACGTTACACACGAGTGACGCTTGACAGTTTGAAAACGAAGAAAGGCGTGCGCGCCCGCGGAGAAAGATGCGCACTTGTCTGGGAGGTGTGTAGAACGGAAAGCGACGTGCAGGTGCCACCACCGTGTCGTCTTAGCAAAGCGTTAGAGCACTTACCTTTTTAAGCATCGCGTTGCACTGTCAGTGCAGCGTGATGAACACTACGGTCCTTAAAATTTACTTGTATGTGCCTTCTCTAGTATAAAGGCACACATACAAAACATCAACGTGTTGTTACGGTGCCTTAGATATGCGCAATAATTGCTCTTCAGTTGACAATCGCACAAATATGTACGCTGAATCTCGAGCAATATTGGTGGGCGCTGCGGATGGAGTTGGCCGTCTGGTGCCGTTTGAGGTATCGGTAAGGACGGACAAACAGACAAATGGGCAAACAAAAAGACAGGCCAAAAATTTTTTTTTGTCGAAGGTCCTCAGGAAAGATCGTCTTTAAAATACATTTCGGCTTCCGCACAAAAACGCTATCCACAATAACAGGAAACGGCGCAGGGTACTTTCCTTAAGTGCTGTAACATGATGCAGGAATCGTACGTACACTGATTGCGGGGGGGGGGGGGGGGAGAGTGTTACTATATTTTGTTGATCATGTTCACACTTAAAGAATCCAAGCAAAATTGTTGCAACAGAGTTGCTTAAAAGGGAGAAAGGCAGGCAAGCTGACGAGAATTATAACATCTCACTTGGCAGGCTTGCCACCTCAAACCATGGGGAGGGGCAAAGAACCTTGAGAACGAAGGGCGAAAGCACAAGCAGTCTCACGAAAACTGTCAAATAAAAATACGCGGGAACAGTATTATGGCCTATCATACAGATCCGCACCACACAAAAAAGGCATCAAGCAGGCTTTATAAGGGTTCCGGCGCAACAACAGTTTCGGTCACAGTATATGCACTGGCTGGCTGTTCCAAGCTGTTATCAAGGTGGCCCAACGCGGAATTATTTTTTTTTCACTGGGAACAATACAGGCGTTATCCCGATTGGTTTCATGCCCAGTAGACACCACATTGATGTGCCAGAACATCAACAGCATTTTTCGCGTTAATTGCGTTATTAAAACGTCCAAAACCGCTTGTATCAGACTTCTGCGTTTCACCTACATGTAGACATTTGCAGTTCGCTTAAGAAATTCTATGGACTACTACTGGAAAGTTTTCTACGTACCACTAATTTATATTTGTATTTTCTTAGATGATGGCTTTCGTGTCGGGACATGTGACACTTGGATGGCATATACACGCGTTACCTTGGTGACTCATTAAATTAAGCATAGAATATCGGGCAACAAAATTAGCAAGGATGCGCGTATTTCATATTTTAGACAGGAACAGAACACGTGTCCTTTCTGTAAACCTAATGTACAGGCGGTTATCGTCCCGCTTCATAGCGACGTCAAAAAACGGAAGGACGTCCTTCCATTTCTCTTTCATAGAAGCGGTATTGAATCATCAATAAAACTGAGTAGTTCCAAGAGTCGTGGTAAAGAATTTTGATGTGAGACAAAAAAGTAATTCAAATATGGCAAGAAAATATTAAAGTGGAACATCAAATGAAGTCACAGCACTTTTTATTTATGCCCAGATATTATTATTTATGCCTGGGCGTCTCGCGCTAAAGCTCGTTAGAAATCTTAGTTATACCAACGGGAGACTGGAATCATGTTCCTGCAGAAGACGGGCACCTGCCGTGTAATAAATTTTAAAGAAGATAGCCTTTCTTGGGATGTTTCAAAGGAAAAATATTAATTTGTCTGTCTGTTTGTCTGTCAAGTGAAACAGCTGAAGTACGCCCACATCATTAGCGCCCACATAGATTGTTCTGGTTTCTGCCTTCATACTTGTGATGTTGTCAAATAAAATCAATCATTGCGCATATTTGAAGCACAATATAAACACATCAATGTTCTGTGGAGTGTTTTTTCATACTAGAAAGTAATTCTAAGAACTGTAGCGTTTATTACGCTGCACTGACAATGCGATAATATAGTTACTAGCAACACTATGCACGAAAAGGTGGGTTTTCCGCGCTTTGCCAAATAGATACGGTACTACCACCTACCTTGAAATCTTTGTCTACTTATGTCTACTTCGATACAAGCTTAACATGCATCCCATGACGTGAAAACTTTAGCCTACACAACTTTTACCAGACCCACATTAAAATACGCCTCCATTATTTGGGACCCTTTCACCAAAACCAATATTATTGTCTTGAAAGAATACAGAGAAAAGCCATGCGATTCATTTTTTCTAAATACAGCCGTGAGGATTCTGTAACGGAATCTTATACGTTCTAACGGTTTTCACACACTTCAAATGAGGCGCAAAATATGCCGACTGAAGTTCCTCCATTCTTTGTTAAATCGTAAATTGTTTATAGACCCCACTCCTTACATAACCCTTTTTGAAACTAAGAAAACCCGTCATTCCCATTCCCTCACACTCTCTCTTTATTTTGCCAGATCTAAACTCTTTAAATATTCTTTTTTACCCGCACCATAGAAGAATGGAACCGAATACCTTTTGATCATCTGGACTCGACTGAATCAATACAGAATTACTTATTCACTGTTTCCTAATTAAATTTTATTTAGAGTTGTTTTTTATCGTTACCTGACTTGTTTATGATATTCAATTGTGCTTTGTAGATGTATTTATGTTGTACCATTCCCCTCTTGCATGGGCCACATGGCCTGCAGTATATCGTAAATAAAAAAAATGAAAAAATCAATAAAGTATGGCCTCCAAGATTGTGCGCGCACGCTACGCGCTCACTCTAACAGAGGCCATGCTTTCGTTTATTCAGATTACCACCAGATGGTCCTTGTGCCTCACGCAGCGCCTCCAGAATCCCACTTACTGTTTTTCTCGATCAAAACAGAGAAAGATTAATGTTTTGTTCGCTCTCTCCAGTCAGAACACTATTGTTGTTCGACGTCATTAGCAGTGAAACATGCTGATACGGGGCCATTTTTTCAATGTATTCCGTGCAATCATAACCAAGCAAATAATCGGTCCACATGTTAAAACAAATACCCTGTTATAAAAATAGAACAAACACCAGAAAGAAATAATGTTAACGAGCTAATTTAAATGCGCTTCTTGTTTTCGGAGGCTTTATCTTTATTAAGCAAATTTTTCATTTCCGCCGACCTTTGCGTTTTTCTTTCTGCTACGCACCTCGCGTAACGTAGCATAAATCATATCTTTGTGTTCTTAAACGTTCGACGGCTCTTTGAAATGTGACCTTGCTCGTGGGCTACTTCTAGGTCACATTGTTCTGCACTGAAACATCCGCGCGACGCTGTTACAGAAGCGGACGCTTAATGGGTCACGTGTTTCGTTTGCTTCATTCCTGCGTTTAGAATGACAACATTTTCGATTATTTAGTTACATTTCTTAGCTTCTTCAGAAGAGCTACTGGAAAAGAACAAAGCTCCGGGACGCTTCAGCTACGCCTAAAGCCTGGTTGCCACCCTCTCGCGCCGTCTGTTGCACTCGCGTGTCGGGCTTCACTTATTCAGTGTATATCTCAACCTTGCATCGAAGAATGTAATGTCTCCGGACGTAACATCGGGCATATGAAGTGAAGTTGCCAAATATTCACTGTGCCATATTTTATTTAGCGAATAGGCGAAGTAACCACTATGCGTCCGTATAAGAAAAGGCGCAAAGCTACGCACTTTGTTGATGCTGAAGGTGACGATGCCGAGCGGTTATTCGCTGAACCTTTGTGATTGGTGGGCCTATAGACCACTTACTTCTCGCGAATTTCGCATAGCGAGACGTCTGGTGCAATTATACACTGCTTCGACTAATATTTTACGTGTTAGAACATCTTAAACACATAAATATTAGTTGGTAGAAAACCTAACTTTTACATATAAAACCT